TTTTTTTTTTTTTTTTTTGCCGCGCGTAATGCCGCTTTGACTTTCTTTTTTTAAATGCATCAACCGGCGCGGTGATTCGAGGGTATTTCAGGGCACTCACGGGGGAAACTTCACCCCCGGAACACGTAACTCGGAAATAGATTTCGGATTGGCATTAGGTCGTGATATTATGTCTTATAAAATTACAGGAATTGCGCGAGTTTACAAAAGAAGCAATATCACGTCGAAACTAATCTCCTCGTTTGATTTTGAGATGAAATACGCGCGTATGTGTGTGTGTGTGTGTGTGTCTGTGTTTTTCTTGCTGCATGAATTAATCATCTAGTTTCAAAAATTCTCCTCAGTATTGCGTACAGTATGGAGAACAACAATTAGAGAGGAACAAAAGTAACTGCAACAGTTAATAAACGTAATAAATTTTCTTTTAAGTAAAGTCATTATCACAAAGAGCACCATCGCTTTACGTTTAACAAAAAGTTCACGCAGCATTTTAAATCTCCCTTTGCCCACCAGCTGGAACAACAAAGAGTCCGAGTGACCGATCAGCCGTCCCATTTCCTCGCGCGTAATTCCCAAACGTAAATTACAATCGTTAATTCTTCTCGTTCGATAAAATAGACGCGGACTTTCTCTATCCGGCGTGAACCCTTCCTCCCATTGGTGTCGGCGCAGCGTCTACTTACGACGGACGTGCAGTCTCACACCGGGAGAGATAAACGCCCTTTTACAGATCGTTTCACTCTCATTTGCGTGAAGCTCACCGTGGGAGGTCTGCCTCCCCTTTTTCACTTTGCTTCTTCCGCATTTTCTCTCTCCCTTTCTTCCTCGGCCACCGTTATGACACAATTTGCGGTCGGCTCTCCTTCACTTCAGCTCTCTCCAACGCCTCCGCCTGGCAGATTCCTCGCCGCGTCGTCGTCGCCGTCGTCGTCGTGCGACACACACGCGCCGCCGCCGACAGTCCTTTAAAGGGCGCGGCGACGGACAACGAGCAACGAGCGCGCGGATTTTTGCGTACGAGGATCGGCCGCACATTGCATACGTTTATTTCCCCCAATTAACCCTTCGGGGCTCGGCGACGGCCACGCGACCGTCGCTAACGACCGCCGTGTTTACCACGGCCGACGCCGTCGTTTTCGCCCGCCGCGGCCAACCGCACCGTTCTCTGCATGTGGCGAGTCTCCCGTGTGCGGTGTTTTGCCGCTCTGCATACGCGATTTTCATCGGAGCGATTCAACGTAGCGTGGCGCGCGATAACGATCATTTTCAGGATTATCCCTCTCGCGTGACAATGAGAATTTCGATATTCCGTGCAGTAAATCTGCATCTGAGCTCGTGTAATTTTCAACATTTTTTACATATTTTTACTATACATCACTGTTCACAGTTCCCCGTGAAAGTATTGAAATGTTATAACAACAGTTTACGAATAGTATGTTGTAAGAAATATTTTGAAATTCTCTTTAACAATGCAACTGATTCTAATCGAGTGGCAAATCTATAAATATATAGAAATAATTCCTCATTCAGTAAGATTTCTGTCAAAAAATCCTTCACTCGGATCTCCTGAACTATGAACCATACTATCGACTGTTTTTCACTACCGTCCTCTTTATTAATTGCCAGGCGTTTTATTTATACGATAAAATAATAAAATAATAAAAAGAAAAGATGTATTAAAAAAGAAATTTCTAGTTCCTTAACGCACGTGTACGTTGCAACGTGTATTTTAATACACGTTGAAAATCACGATCTAGCGAGTCTTGACGACAATTTGACGAAAATTGAGGATACCGCAAGGGGTGGCTTGTCAACAATTCTCCCCATTCGTTATCGATACCGTTAGATTATCTATTTCCGCAGGTAAGCTGGTATTCTGGGAATCAATCAACGGCCGCGTTTTTCTCTTTGCCCCTCGGTGAAGAGCGGAATTCGAAGCGGAGGGTCCTTTATGCTCGCGACATAAATAACTGGATAAAGGAGGAGCGATTGGCGCGGGGTGGCGCGGTCCGCTTTGGCGGCAGCGTTCGATTCAACTCTTAATGCCTCCTCAGCCAGCGAACCGGCGCACCTGCCACGCCAAAAGAGCATTTTCCCCTTTTTCCATTGTCTTCTTCTTCTTCTTCTTCTTCTTCTTCTTCCTTTCTTCCTTCCCCCCTCCCCCTCGTCGTCATCCCCGTGGAAACTCGTCCCGCGGCGCGCCGCCAACTTTCTTATTGCCGAACTTGACGTCGTAAGAAGAAATACTTGCAATTGGATCCCGGTTCCCTTGGCGACCGCTACGACCACGTTTCTGTGGAACGTCGATCGTTCTCCCCGGGAAATTAGATTGGCCAGCGTCGGGAGTTACACAGTTCGCGACAAGGGCCGAGATATTACGCAAACTTTTGTCATTTCATCTTATCGGTACGCCGAGTTGGCGTTTCGCTGCGAACCAGTACTTGTCCAGATCGTTGTTTGATTAATATCGTTTCTTGGATGCTTCCGTTTTCGCTGTTGATGATTCTGTCCCATTAGGTTGGATGGATGCGTTTGTTCGCGGGAATCGTCCATGTGCGATACACGGAGTGCAATTCAAGCGATAGAGGCACAAACTTCGGTATTTTTTTTTAGTCAAAGATACAAGTCTTTAGAGATAGTTGACAAGCGAACGAAGTTTTATAGAAACATAACATTTTTAAAATTGTAACCTAGTATTGTATGAATCTGATAAAGGATATTTAATTGGAAAATAAATGTATGTACGACGACTGTAAACTGATTTGAGAAATGCTTCCCATTGAATTTGGATTTTAGTAAGATTTAGTAATATCTGAAAGTCGATCAGTGTTAAATATATTCACTATTCACAATTTTGAACATGGATGCTTCTGATTTTTTTCAAAGTTTCGTTAAAAAGACGACGCTTCGTCCGTACAGTTTCATTAGCTCGTAAAAGTCGATTAAAAGGAAAGTAATTGTTTTATGCTCACCATACAGCATCCATGAAGTGGAAGAGACATGTTCTTTAAAACGTAACAAAAAAAAAGAAAACGAGTTTCTGTTTAGAACGAGTTTCTCTCAAACGTTTCTTAAATAAGAAAACTTAATCATCCTTCACAGAATTGTTTTTTTTTTGTTTCGTCTAAAAATCAATTCTGAAGTGTTTTCCGCTTTCCGTTCGTGTTTGAACATTTTGAACAACTTCGTCGATCGTGGCGATTGAAAAGTGAAATTTTCAATGCACGGGAAGCGAATTATCCTTCGCAAGAAGTTATCCCAAATGTATGAACTTTTACAATGATCTTTCGATAGTATCGTTCGTCGTAACATTGTTCTTTAAATTGATGTACAACGAGAAACAGAAACTGGAACGAGGAAAATAAAAGACACGAGGCAATTTTCCTATATATTTCCCGTAATGTTCGATTCAATTACTCACCGTCCTTATTCATTCCCATCTGCATGCACTTCTTCAAACGGCACGCCTGACACTGATTTCGGTGAGCTTTGTCCACGACACATCTTCCGGTACCGGCTTGACATCTGAACATAAAATTTTTCGATACATAAGAAGGTTTCAGTAGCAAAGAACCTTCGTAAATTAGCTGCGCTTTAATATTAACTTCCCAATTTTATTAATCTTACTAACTCATTGAACAGAATTCAAACGTACGTTTAATTAGAAATTTCCATCATTTGCTTTAATTTAATCAACTCTTCATTTTATGTACATCTTCGTTTTCTACAGCTAAATTCAAAAGTTCCGTCGTAAGTGTTAATTTTGTTTAATTTTCTTCAATAGAAACTTTCATCGCAAGTGTAATAAGACATATACAATTAAGTCACATGTGAATTAGGGTATTCGTCGACTTTTATTAGAAGAAGATTTTCTTTTTAAGAAGATCACCATTTCTCTTCATTGTCAATCTCATTAAAATAATAATTTCATGTCGAGCGTGAAGACACTGTTATCAGAGTGAGAAAATTCGAATGGAATGAAGCTCTCTTTCGATTGTCGATGTCGATCCTTGGCGACGACGTTTCATCGACGACTATCGTAACTTGATGGCTGAAAGTTGTCCCTTCCGAAAAAGCGACAAATTTCGAGCGCACTTGCCGGAAATCCTGACGGCGCACTCAGAGGATGGCGTTAAATTCGATTACTTTCATTGTTCGGATAACCCGGTTATCCTTCCGAGCTGACTAACGTAAAGAGCCGACAGCTCGGGGTCACGTACCTTCTTCTTATCCCTCTTAATTTCATCGAATCCCGCGGTAGCCTCGTGATGCTTCGTTTTCTAGGGGTTCGCAATCACTTCCTCTTTTCTTTCTCCTGCCGGCTAACGACACGTAGAAATCGAACGCATGCGAACTGTTGTTACTCGCTATATTTTAGATCTTTGCTCGTTTCTGGGATCAAGGATCATTTAATAAATAGATTTTAGTGACATGAAATAAACTGACTTTAGAATACTATTTAGAAACAACAAAATTTCTCTTTGTTCCTATAATTTACAATTAGAAATTCTCTTGAGCTACCTAGAGTATGTATATAAAATTAGTAACAATCCGTCGCAACAGAATTGTCGAGAATCAGCTATTTTATATTTTAAAGATTTACACGTGAAAAATTCATTCTTGAATGCAAAAAGAGAGAAAGAAATTGAAGAGAAAGATGCAAAATCTTGTCAATTAGGAGCAGACAATTTAATAGAAACGAGAGTCAACCCTTTCTTTAAAAACGATTCCTGGTTCCCATGGACGAAGACGAGAAAAAAGATGTGCACGGTGGTAATTCGACGGTAATAGCCCGGGGTTGGGGATCGGGGCTCGATGGATCGATCCGGCCGGGGTCTCTGTTAGCGCGATTTTAACTAACGTCACTCACAAGGAGGCGGCTTGATCCAGCGGCGCGACGAAAGGACGCCACTGTCCTCTCCTGAAACTATCTTGTCCCGAGGCGGTGGAACACGAAGGGCACCGAAGGGTAGCCGCGTGTTGCCGTGCCAGCAGGGTTCCTCTCGCAAATTGATTTGCGTTCACACCCC